GCCTGCAGGGACAGGCTATAGACACCAGAACCACTACATTAAGCTGAAGTGGTTCTGGGGACTATAGTGTTTCTTTAATGTGAGGTAAATTAGAGCTCAGTGCCACGAATAATATACTAGATTGCCTACTTACAACCAGATGAGGATGATGATGGGCTCTAGCTTCAGTCTGGCTCCACTGGTCTGGTGTAGAACAGGCTCTCTGGAGGCGTTTTGTAACTGTGGTCACAAAAATCAATGTTCTGGGAGAACGGGAAGCAGCTCCATTTTTTGGGGGCCCTTTACACAGCTCAAGGTCTGGGTCCCAGGGTTCACCTTCATGTTCCACCAATGAGTTTGTTCACAGGGGGTGGAGTGTGTAGGGGATGTCCTGATATGTGTGTAAGGAATGCATTGTGTGAAATTGTGTTTGTATGTGTAAGGGCTGCAAGGTGTGTTTCTGTGTATGTATGGGATGCATTGAATGTGTGTAACAGGGCCGGATTAACATAGGGTCTGATGGAGCTGCAGCTCCAGGCCCAGGCCCATGGAATAGGCCCATTGATTTATAAAAAAAAAAAAAAAAACTTTTATTTTTTTTTTACATTTTTTTTTTCACACACTACTCTTAGGGATTCCACCTGGCTTTTATTTTATTGGCACAGCCAGTATTTGAGGCTGCCTGGCTGGTGCCAATATTACAGTGATACTGGCAATACCAATGCCGGTATTTTTCTCAGTATAAACAAGAGATTACTATGCAATACCAGCACTGGCCAGTAGAGGTCACTGTGTGTGGAGACAGGCAGGGATAGGACGTTCCAGCATATCCCTCCCTGCCTATCTATACTCACTGATCTGCAGCTACAGAGAGTCCAGACAGCAACTCCCACCCTGCAGAGACAGCCTACAGCTCAGGGAAGTAAGGGATGGGGGAAAGGCTGCAAGGAGACATGGGGACACTGAGACTCTAATGGACATTGGGAGACATTATGACACAGACACATGGGGACACAGTGTCCCTATGTCTCCCAGTGTCCCCATGTCTCCCAGCCAGTGTCCCTGGTGTTTCAATGCCCCCTAGTCTCCCAGTGCCCCCAGTCTGCCAGTGTCTCACTGTCCCCATGTCTCCTAGTGCCTCCATGTCTCCCAGTGCCTCAAGTGTCTCAATGTCCCCATGTCTCCAAGCTAGTGTCCCTAGTGTCTGTGGCCTTGGTGTCTCCTTGTCCCCATGTCTCCCAGTGCCCCCATGTCTCAATGTCCCCATGTCCCCCAGCCAGTGTCTCTAGTGTCTGTGTCCCTGGTGTCTGTGTCCCCATGTCTTCAAGTGTCCCCTATTTTCCTAGTGTCCCCATGCGTCCCAGCCCGAGTCCCCTAGTCTCCCAGTGTCACTGGTGTCTCCGTGTCTCTAGGTCTCCCCGTGTCCCCAGGTCTTCCTGTCTTCCTAGTGACATGGGGACCCTGGGATACATGGGGACACAGGGAGACATGGGGTATTGAGACACTGTGATACATAGGATCACTGGGAGACCTTGGGACACGACACTAGGGGACACGGGGAGACATGGGGCACTGAGACACTGATACATAGGAACACTGAGACTTGGAGTAATCGACACATGGGGCACTGGGAGACATGGGGCCACTGGGAGGAATCCATCTATACAGCAGAATCAAACTAAGTAGTTTTTTGGTGATTTTACAGCATTTTCTCTTATGTCACTCCTTGTGATTTACATCATGTGATGTCACCCATACATATTTAATTATGCAAATTAGCAAGGCCGGTATGTTTTTCCAAGAAAGGTGGCAACCTTAACTACTTTTCACATACTCTTACTTAAGTATGGAAACTTAAGAGGGATGTATGGGAACAAAACCTGCGTGGACTGGCTAACAATGAATATAGTTAAAGGGACACTAGAGTCACCAGAACAACTACAGCTTATTGAATTTGTTCTGGTGAGTAGAATCATTACCGTCAGGCTTTTTGCTGTAAACACTGGCTTTTCAGAGAAAATGCAGTCTTTACATTACAGCCTAGTGATAACTTCACTGGCCACTCCTTAGATGGCTGTTAGAGATCCTTCCTGGGTCATGGCTGCCTAAAATGCATCCAAACATTCAGTGTCTCCTCCCTCTGCATGCAGACACTGAACCTTCCTCATAGAGATTCATTGATTCAATTCATCTCTATGAGGAGATGCTGATTGGCCAGGGCTGTGTTTGAATCATGCTGGCTCTGCCCCTGATCTGCCTCTTTGTCAGTCTCAGCCAATCCTATGGGTAAGCACTGTGATTGGATTAGGCCACCACTTCTAATGATGTCACCAGACTGCTTGTTTTTCTGAGTCTAACAGCATGCAGAGTTACAGCTTCAGGCTTGATTACAGTAAGATTTTGCTATATTTATGGAGGCATGAGGGGCCATGGGGGGCTAGATGGTGGTGTTAACACTATAGGGTCATGAATTCATGTTTGTGTTCCTGACCCTATAGTGATCCTTTAAGGTAACGCTGACTTTGGTCTCTCTAACAATGTGGCATGTTCTATTTCTTCTACACTCACTTCATACAGCTTTTCTCTGTCCCAGACTATATACCAGGAGCTTCTGTCTGCTAGTAAGAAGGTAAGGAGACAAGTGGACCAGCGAGTGCTAGGGGACAGTCCTTAGAAAGCGTTGAGCGAGCGCATCATTAAATGCATTTATGCCAAGCTCAGGGTGCTGTCTGCATAGTATGCCCTTAGTTGGCCAGCTGCATGATTGGCAGGCAGCCTGACATGCATTCATACCAGGCTGGCCTTCTAATTCTTTGGGCATGTTCGCCCCTTTTGGCAGGTTACGTGATTTGTGTCAGTGGCACACCCTTTTACCGTGCCCATTGACTTCCTGCTTGACTGGACACTGCTGTAAGGGGTTATGGATTTACTTGAAAGATGAAAACATAAATTAGTGAGAGATTAGCCTAGGGTATGTGTTTTCTTATAGTTGCTGTTTTCTTTCTCTCCAGCACCATCTCCATCAGATACATGACGCTTGGGAGTGTTTTACTGTTTTTGGTCGATATGATTCTGTAATTAGGCCCGTCATAATTGTCAGCACCAGGTCCACTGGGCTCTTAACCTGGCTCTGGTGTGTAAGGGGTGCATTGAGTGTGTGTAATGAATGCATTGTGTGTTTCTGTGTGTGTAAGGGATGCATTATGTGTAACGGTTGCATTGCTTGTGTATGTGTGTCTGTGTGTGTAATGCATTGTGTGTTTTTCTGTGTGCAAGGGGTGCATTGTGTGTATGTGATGAATGTCAATCTCTCCTCCCGCTCCAATTTCCTTCTCCTCCTCCCAATTTCTCTTTCCCCCCTCCTAATATCTCTTCCCCCCTCCTAATTTCAATTTCTCTTTCCCCCCTCCTAATATCTCTTCCCCCTCCTAATTTCTCTCTCACCCCCTCTCTCCTTTCTCACCTTTCTCCTCTTTCACTGTTAATTGCTACATACACCTATATATTGTGAGTTTTGTATGTGCTTCAGTAGCTTGACAAAGGCCCTAAGGCAGTGATAGCGAACCTTTTTGAGCCCGAGTGCCCAAACCGTAATACATGCCAATTTTTTTTTCCTCAAAGTGCCAAAACGGCAATTAAACCTGAATACTGAGGTTTAAGTTTAGAAAAAACAACTCATACAGTTGTCCGAACTAATTAACATCTCTGTGTGTGTATTAAGCAGTTTGTGTGTGTGCTCGGCAGTCTGTCTGTATGTGTATTTAGCAGTCTGTCTGTGTGTATTTAGCAGTCTGTCTGTGTACTTAGCAGTCTGTCTCTATTTAGCAGACTGCTGAATACACACACAGACTGCTGAGTACACAGTCTGCTGAATACACACACAGACTGCTAAATACACACACACACAGACTGCTAAATACACACACACAGACTCCTAAATACACACAGACAGACTGCTGAGTGTATACACACAGACAGACTGCTGAGTGTACACACACAGACAGACTGCTGAGTGTACACACACAGACAGACTGCTGAGTGTACACACACAGACAGACTGTTGAGGCTACACACACATTGAGGGGTACAAGTGTGTTTGTGTGTGGGTGATGTGTGTGTGTGGGGGGTGATGTGGGTGGGGGTGGATGTGTGTGGGTGGTGTGTGTGTGAGTGGGTGATGTGGGTGGAGTGATGTGTGTGGGTGGGGTGTTGTGTGTGTGTGTGTGTCTTTTTGTGGGGTGATATGTGTAGGGCAGGGGTGCTGTGTGTATGTCGCCCCCCTCTCCCCCCCTGTTTTCTTTCCCCCCATCCCTCCCTCATTTTTTTCTCCCATCCATACCCAGTTTTCCCCTACCTCCCTCAGTTTCCTATCTTCCCTTTAGTTTCTCTATACTCTTCCTCAGTTTCTTCCCCATAATCCCTGTTTTCTCCCCCTATAACTCTGTAGTTTTCTTCCCCCCATACTTCCTCAAGCTTTCCTCATACCTTGCTTTTCCCTCTATCTCCCTGCTTTTCTTTTCCCTCTCTATACTTCCTCAGTTTTTCTCTATACCTCTCAGTTTTTATTCCTCTCTACTCTCTAAGTTTTTCCTCTATCTTCCTCGTTTTTCCCTCTATCTTCCTCTCAGTTTTTTCCCTCTACCTCTTCCTCAGTTTTTCTCTATCTTCCTCAGTTTTTCCTCTCTACCTGCTTTTTCCTTACCTTCTCAGTTTTTCTACCTTCCTCGCTTTTTCCTCGCTCTATTATCTCTGCCTTCTACCTTGTAGCGTGGCCGAGCGCACCGCGGAGCTAAGCTGTGAGCACTTCATTTCCGTCCGCCTGGGTACAGGAAACATAAGTTCCTGTACCGCGGCGCGCTCGGCCACGCTACACAGAGTGCCTGGCAGGAGGGAGCGCTATGCGCTCACCTCCTGCCGGTCACTCCGGCTTTGCACCCGCCGGGCCGGTGTGCCCTAAGACGGCCACTTGTGCCGCCTTATGGATGCGCCTGCGGAGCGCACCCTCCCTCCCTCCGGCGACCTATAGCCACGTGCCCACAGAGGGGGCTCGGCGTGCCACCTGTGGCACGCGTGCCATAGGTTCGCCATCACTGCCCTAAGGGGTCGAAACGTTGCCTTTTGGTTCCTGGTTCTAATAAAATTGCCTTTGCTTTGGAATTCGTTGGAGTGCCTGGATTATTTTCTATATTCAAAATTCTATGAAAATGAAGGTGTCTGTGTATAGTGTTGGCATTTAAATGTAGTTGTGTGTTAATATGAACTGTTGCAACGTAAAAGCAGTGGTGTAAGTGTGTAGTGGGTTTGAATGCAGGTTGTGTTTGTGTGTAGTTTTGATGTTTGTATGTAATGCTGGTGTTTTAATATAGGAGTGTGTTTGTATGTAGTGTTTGCATTTGACAGTAGGAGTATGCTTGTATGTAGTTTTGATGTTTGAATGCTGGGATGTATACACATATACACATATGTGGCCACACACAGTGACACAGAAACACACTAACACACAGTTACATAAATGTACCCAAACACTGACACACATAGATACAAACATATACCTATACAGATACATATACACAGATACAAACATATACCTTTACAGATACACACATACACACACATTGGCACACACACTGGCACACACACAGATACAAGCAGATACCTACACAGGTGCATACACACACTGGCACACATACAAACCAATATACCTACACATACCTACACATACACACACACACACACACACAGAGACACGCACATAGACGCAGACACATAAACATACATACACACAGATACACACACATTCATACACTGGCACACACAGATGCACATATATACACACTGGCACACACTCAGATACATAAAAATATCTACACATACACACACACATATATACTGGCACACAAATAGATACACACACAGATAAACACACCTAAACATACACACAAACAAATTGCAATTTATGTATTGCTACCCCCTGTCCCCTTGCTTCCATACATTTTGATTGGAGGAAGCTGAAATCCTGGGGCTGGCTGCCGGTGATAGAAGTCCAAAGATTTCTGCCTGCAGTGCTCTCCCTCCTCCCCTTTCTGTGCTCCTCTGTGTGCTCGCAGCCAGCACGGTCTGTAGGCTGGGAAGAAGATGCTGCAGGGGCCCATCAGGCTCTTAAAGGGCTGCAGCGCGTAACAGGACCCCTGTTTAGCAATAATACCCATTGGGTGGCCCTTAGTGCATGTACCACCCGATGGGCCTTCAAGGTGTGTGGGTGACGGTGCAGCCGCACCGACGGTAGTTTGGCCGTTGATAGATCCCTGCAGTCTCACTGCTCATTTCTCTGCCATTTAGGATTAAAATCACTTTTGTTTCTGTTTATGCAGCCTTAGCCACACCTCTCCTTGCTGTGACTGAAACAACTTGCATGAATACAAAATGGTTTTATTTTCAATCAGATGTTAACTTACTTTAAATGTTTTTAATTGTAATCATTTTGGAGTATATTGCACTCTGAGATATTGTTACATTAATTAGGCAGCATTTAAGTCCTGGGGACCAGATTGTGAAAAAAATAACAATTAATTTTAGTTCCAGTACTCTGCTTGGCTATTATAACAGTTGCCAGTTTAGTAAAGTATTCTCTTAAAATTGTATTTATTTTTATATAAAGGGAAGAAACCTAAAATTGTTAAGACAGAATTACAAGGAAATAAAAATTACCTTCAGATACAAAACCAAATGTAAACCTTCTCATTCATCAAATCTTCACAGAAGCAAAATGCATCTCATCTGCATTGACAGATTATTTTAACACTGTAACTGATTTAAGGTTAGGGTTATTAACATAAACTAATGATAAGGAAATACCTTTTTAGAGATCAATGGCAGAGATTTTTTCAAATTGCTTTGTTCTAAAAAATTAGACACACAGCTGTTAAATGTCTAAACCGCTGGAAATAAAAGTGAGTACACCCCTAAGTGGAAATGTCCAAACTGGGTCCAAAGTGTCACTATTTTTTTGAGACCACCATTATTTTCTAGCATTGCTTTAACCCTTATGGGATGGAGTTCACCAGAGCTTCACAGGTTGCCAGTAGAGTCCTCTTCAACTCCTCCATGACGACATCACAGAGCTGGTGGGTGTTAGAGACCTTGCGCTCCCCCATCTTCCGTTTGAGGATGCCCCACAGATGCTCAATAGGGTTTAGGCCTGGAGACATGCTTGGCTGTGTGTTGAGTTATTTTGACGAGGACAGCAAATTGACACTGTTATACAGGCTGTACACTTACTACTTTATATTGTAGCAGTGTCATTCCTTCAGTGTTGTGAGGGGTGTACTCACTTTTGTGAGATACTGTACACAGAGACATATTTGCAGGATAACTAGATTACTAAAGTCAAAAGGTTGAGGGACTGAAAGATTGCTGGTATCTTCCAAACCTGAATGCTCATTATGGTGGCATGTTTTTCACTTTGTTCTGTACAATTGTACAGCACTGCAGAATATGTTGTCGCTTTATAAATGACAATAATATTAATGATAACAACAACAGTAATAATAAGTAAAACTTAGAAATGAGCGTCACATCGCTGTATAAACACATTCTAGTTTATTTAAATACTAACATTCTATTTAAAACAAAAATAAAAATACATTTGTTAAGGCATTATAAAACGTTTCATTCTGCTAACTTGCTCAGATGAGTCCCCATCAACTGTATCTCCCACCATTTCCTTAGCACATAGGGTTGGGTGAAAACACACATAGTAAAGGATTAACGAGATTATGCCTAATCCCAAGGAAAGAACAGTAGCAATGCTTAAAATAGTGAAAAGTAAAGTGCGCGTTAAATTAGGTTTATAATAGAAGCACAATGTGAGAATCCCTGTGACGGTAAGCACCCTGACGAAATAGTAAACCGAGATTGGGATTTTAGTCTTTTGTCCTTTTACATTGAAAAAGGTAAAAATAAGTATAAATCCAATTATAATTCTATACAGGATTTCCATTCCCGAGGTACTGCAGAAGGCCGTTTCCTGCTTCAATGTCCAACACAAGCCTGCTACCCCTAGCACAGTCATAAGAATAGCAAACAGGTAGGGTTTGCAGGAGAGGAGAAACACGATGCTCACTATCCACGAGGTCAGAGTGAAAAACTTGTACAGTACGTAAGTGATGGCAGGTAACCCAACATTCATTCCTTTTGTTCCCGGCAGAGATTTCCGTAAGCACATCTGGTAGTCGACAGTAGACCATGAAATACTGGATACTGACACCAAAATGGAGGCGTCTGAAATAAACAAAACACTATGAACATGGGAATCTACACAAATCAATGACTAAAGACACAACAGACAAGGCACCCAAGAAGAAAAGTTCAATCTAACTGGGCAACTGGGAATTATTTTGTGTGTTTGCAGATCAATGTTTTTTGTTGTAATTTTGAGTTGGGGGTGAACCACAGCATTATTATGTTTTCATTTCTAACATTAACAAACCGGGAAAATGTATACATAATCACATCTTGTTTTTTCTCTTGTCCGTGCTGTCTCCATCCTCTTGCCTTGCTCACATATCTCTGTGTTGGGAGGGATGCCATCATTTTCAAGTTATAAGGACAATTACAAATAATAGAAAATAAAAACAAAATAGGCAGAAAACATGTGATTTTAGCTCCAGTCAAATTTGTAATACAGTGTATTTTCTTAAAACAGCAATGTTGATATTTTGCCTAAAATCACATCTGTAGTGGCAGTTAGGCTTAGGGCAACTAGAGTAGCTTCCTCATTGAGAAGTTTTGATTTTTGAAGGTCTTTATGTTTGGCATCGTCTTCATAGCATGATGACGACAGATGCTGTTAGTGCGTCTCGTGGAGAGGATTCAATGCTTGCAACAGCGGATTGCGCTAGCGTCCTTGATGCTACTGAATTAGACAGAGATGATCACAAGTTATGTTCTCAGAAAAGGTAGAGTGACTGCACAGAGGAATTGTCCAGACACTAGATTACAGATTTTATATTGGTCTGTTTTTGTTTTTTTTAACATTTGTTAATTTTTTAATGGGTGGTTGGTAAAAGTTTGTGGAAAATAAATCTAAATTGCATTAACATAGACCATAAATAGTTTAGCTTGTAGGTTTTTTTGACAATTTTTATTTATTAGTTTAGTTTTTTTTAATGGTAAAACACATTTGAATTATCTGCAAAGTATAGGCATGTTTTAGCATGCTGGCGTACAAAGTATTTTTGATTCTTCAAGGAGCCATTTTTTATGTAGGCTTTTCTTTTTTTCATTTCAAAGATATTTTGATATTAAGTTTTGTTCAATTTTCTTTTCTCATTCTATTTGTAGTTTATTAAACACAGTAAATTACATCTAACTTGAACAAAGCAAATTGCCTCCAAATTGTTAGGCCAGTTTATTGCTGCAAATTCACCATTTATGGATCATTGTGTATGTACTAAATTCCTTTTATCTGAGAACATCAATATAAATCTCAGTTTCATTAAAACATTTCTCTTCACGTTGTCCTCCTGCCTTTACCAGTAAGAACATTATACAAGAAAATAAAAGGTAGAATTAAACATATTTATTTGAAAAAATGTTGGTATTTTTTGCCTATAGTAAAAAATGTTTTTTACATTACAAACACTTTAGATCATTGTCAGATAGGGTTGCCACCTGGCACACACTTAGACAAATCATACACACAAAGACACACACATATAGACAACAGCAGGTACACAATGTTAAACACACATTTAGAGAATGACACACTGCTATACACACTACTATTCTCACACTCATCCAGATAGTATACATACACGCTGCTACATATACCGAATGCTACATGTACAGTTAGACAGACACACATAGTAAATAGTGTCCTGGTGATTTAAAGAATTTTTTTCCCCTTTCAAGTGTTTTTTTTTCCTATAGATGTTACTTAACATCAAGTGACATTGTGTCCTGTGATGTCATGTATATATTTATGTATAGTAGGGAATAAATATATTATTGAACAGAAGTCCTTAAAGGGATTCTCCAGTGCCAGGAAAACATATTTGTTTTCCTGGCACTGTAGGACCCTGCAGTGTCCCTTTCCCTCCCGCCCCCCATCCCATGTTAATTTGGCGTGAAAAGCGCGGATCTTACGGCCCCCATGCAGGTCAAGAGCTGAAACCCAAGAACGATCAGCAGGACCGTAACCTTTCCAAACAACCAAGTACTGTAAAGTGCCCCGAGAAAACCTAGAATCCACGATAGAAGATACTTCATACTCCTCCTGACCACCCACCACCACCGGAGGGGAGGAACACAAGGAACTGTATATCTATTGCAGACAAGAGGTTTGAGTAAGGACACATGAAAAGTGTTGGGAACCCCCAAAGATGCAGGAAGAGCCAGAGAGTAAGACACTGGATTGATCCTACAAAGCACTTTATAGGGACCAAGGAATCTGGGGGCAAACTTCATGCTAGGGACCTTAAGCTTGATGTTGCGAGATGACAACCAAACCCGGTCCCCCACTTGGTACACCGGGTTGGCACTCCTATGCTTATCAGCAAAATGTTTGAAGCGTTCAGCAGCAGCCCCTAGAGCAGTTTGAACCTTAACCCAGGTAATCCCGAACGAAGGCCAGATGCTCATCCAGAGCAGGAATGGCAGTATCAGAAAATACCGCAGGTAGAACCATAGGATGCCTACCATTATTGACAAAAAATGGACTGTGCCCAGAGGAGTTATGAACAGCATTGTTTCTAGCGAACTCGGCCCACGGGAGTAGTTCAGACCAATTGTCCTGTGTGCTATTAATAAAACAACGCAAATAAACTTCTAATGACTGATTAGCCCTCTCAGCTGTACCATTGGTCTGTGGATGGTAGGAGGAGGAGAAGGAGAGATCAATCCCCAATTGTTTACTGAACGCCCTCCAGAACCTGGACACAGACTGAGAGCCCCTATCAGACACAATATTGTGAGGGATGCCATGCAAACGGACAATTTCACGTATGAAAATTAGGACCAATTCTTGCGAAGATGGCAACTTCTTGAGAGGAATGAAGTGAGCCAATCTTAGAAAAATCGGTCTACAACCATGAGAATAGTAGTGAACCCAGCAGAGCTAGGAAGCTCAACAATAAAGTCCATGGATAAGTGGGACCATGGAATCTCAGGAACAGGAAGAGGCTGCAACAGGCCACAAGGAAGTGCATGAGTCACCTTAGAAACTGCACACACAGAACATGCCTGCACATACTCCTTTACATCTTTCCTGAGTGAATCCCACCAAAATGATCTAGTGATCGCGGCAGTGGACTTATTGATGCCCGGGTGTCCAGCAGTTATATTGTCATGGAACACTTTCATGATATTAACCCTTTCACATAGGGGAACGAACAGTTTATCACACGGTTTACCACTGGGCGCCTGAGGCTGGGCCTCCAGTATGGTGCCAAGCAGTGGAGAAGACAGTGAGAGGACAATAGTAGCAATAATACACTCTAGTGGAATAATAGGAGATGTCACCTATTCCGGAGCGGACGCATTATCAAATTGCCTGGACAAGGCATCAGCCTTGGTATTTTTAGAACCAGGTCTATGAGTAATGAAGAAGTTAAAACGTGAAAGGAACAGTGACCATCTAGCAAGTCTGGAAGACAAACGTTTGGCATCCCCTATATATGCCAGGTTTTTGTGGTCGGTTATGATCAACAGAGGGTCCTTGGAACCCTCCAAAAGATGTTGCCACTCCTTGAGGGCAAGAATAATGGCCAACAGTTCTCTATTGCCAATATTGTAGTTGCGCTCAACAGGAGACATCTTTCTGGAGAAGTAGCCACAAGGATGCAATGGTGTTCCCTGGCTTTCTCTCAGAGAGAACAGCCCCTACCCCTGTCTCAGATGCATCAACCTCCAATATAAAAGGTTTACTGGTGTTGGGATGGTTTAGTATGTCCGCAGAGGCAAATCTTTATTTAAGAGTCTCAAAAGCATTCACAGCATCTTTGGACCATACCGTGCTACTAACCCCTTTGCGAGTCATATTATTGATGGGGCGATTACAGAAGAAAATCCCTTGATGAATCTTCTGTAATAGTTAGCAAAACCAATAAACCTTTGAATGGCTTTTAAACCAGAGGGTAATGGCCAGTGTAGTACAGCCTCTAGTTTTTTAGGATCCATTTGAAATCCCGATTCAGAGATGTTGTAACCCAAAAAGTGGACTTCAGGCTGGTCAAATATGCACTTTTCTAATTTACAATAAAGTTTATTTTTCAACAACGTCTGCAGAACCTGTTTCACATGGGAGTGGTGAGTTTGAAGATCAGGGGAATACACCAAAATATCGTCCAAATAAACCAAGACAAATGAGTAAATGAATTCCCTGAGTACATCATTTACAAAGTCTTGGAATACGGCCGGGGCGTTGCATAACCCAAATGGCATTACCAGATATTCATAGTGTCCACTACGGGTATTAAATGCCGTCTTCCACTCATGATTCTCTTTAATTCTAACCAAATTGTAAGAGCTCCTAAGGTCAAGCTTAGTAAATACTTTAGCTCCCTGAAGTCTATCGAACAATTCGGAAATGAGTGGGATAGGTTATGCATTTTTTACAGTGATTAGTAAGTGACCTGTAGTCTATGCAAGGGCGTAACTCACCACCCTTTTTCTCAACAAAAAGGAATCCTGCACCAGCAGGTGAGTATGTGCCCTCTTATGTGCCCTTTGCTCAAGGATTCTTTGATGTATTCCTCCATTATTTTACTCTCCTGGGGAGATAAGGCATAAACTGCCCCCTTAGGTGGCATAGCGCCTGGAAACAGGTTAATGGCACAGTCATATGCTCTGTGGGGAGGCAATACATCGGATTGAGCCTTGTTAAACACCTCCTGAAGTTCTCGGTATTGTATGGGAACTCCAGGAGTTTGGGGAGTGGTAGTGGGAATGTCAATAGTATCCAATCTCTTTAGTACTGGTTTTATACATCTCCCCATACACTCTTTACCCCATTCTAATACCTCCCCATTAGCCCAGTCAATATAGGGATTGTGCTTACTCAGCCACGGAAACCCTAATATGATAGGACATGATGGAGAAGTAATAACCTGAAACATCATCTCCTCCCTATGGGAGGCCCCAATAGAGATCGTAATAGGGACAGTTTCGTGGGTTATAAGCGGTTGTGTGAGTGGTCTACCATCAATTGCCTCTACAGCTAGTGGCGTAGGTCTCTCCCTGACCGGTATCTCATTACCCCTAATAAACTGGACATCATTAAAAATTTCCAGCAGCACCTGTGTCCATTAGGGCACTGCAAGAAAACTTCTTGTTATCAAGGGAAATAGATATCTCAAGGAGGAATCTACTTTTGTTTTTGTTAGAGGACAACTCCATCACACCTAAGATCTGTCCCCTTAAGGTTCTTAGGTGCGGAAGTTTTCCGGACGCACTGGGCAATTAGTTATCATATGTCCCTTTCTACTGCAATATAGGCATAACCCCTCCCTTCTCCTATACTGTTTTTCAGCCTGAGACAGTCTAGTGACCCCCCAACTGCATAGGTTTGGGTTCGGACTGTACAGGGAGGTTAGACAAAACAGGTTTAGAGAATCGAGGTGCTAGGGACATAGCCGTACGTCTCGTCTTGCTTCTGGTGACCTCTCGGAGTCTTAACCTATTATTAATATGCATGACAAACGTAATAAATTCGTTAAGACTCTTAGGTAATTCTTTAGCTGCTATCTCATCTAGTATAGTCTCTGAGAGACCCTTTTTGAATGCTGAGATTAACCCATTGTTAGTCCAATCTACGTCGGAAGCTAAGGTACGTAATTCAATAGCATAATCCGAGATAGACCGGTTACCTTATCTGATGTGCATTAGGGCAGTGGAAGCGTCATCCTCTCTACCCAATGGCTCAAACGTGAGCTTGAATTCGGCAAGGAATTCCTGGTAATTATGAGCAATGCTCCGATTACTCTCCCACAACGGATTAGCCCAGGCAAGGGCCTTGCCATTTAATTGATTGATTAGATAACCAATTTTTGCTCTGTCCGTGGGGAACGACCCTGGTGAGGCCTCAAAATGGTACTCCACCTGATTAAGAAAACCCCTGCATTCCTGGATATTGCCATCAAACTGTAGGGATGGCGATAAGAAGATGCTAGGAGTCATATTAACAGTGGGTGGAGGTACACAGGGTAGAGGTGCTATAGGAGGAGATGCTGCAGATGCGCCATTCTAGCGAAAGCATACTGAAAGCCTGAGCGAATTGATCCATGCGGTGATCATTCTCCTCTAATTTCCTCTCGCAAGCAGCTATGTGCTGACACAGTTCTACAGGATCTATGGCCATGTCGTAATGTCAGGATTACTGTTTGATCCAGCACGTAGAACTGTATAGCACGAATGACAAATAAGTAACGTATTACCGGTCCTTAGAATGGCCGGATTTAACGTACCTAGAATAGTCAAAAATACTAGCCGAGGTCAGGGAACACAGAAAGGGACGCAGCGATGAGGAAAGCCAAGAGTCAGGATACCAGAATATAGAGAAGTCAATAAACAAATCCAAAGTCAAAAACTATAAACAGGAACGCACTCTCGCACAACCACAAGGGAAACCACAACAGGGCACTGAGCAGGATGAGAACTGGGCCTAAATACCCCTCCTCTAGATCTGATAGGCTGTAACCGGCCATTGACCCCAAAGTCAGTTACCAGGTTGCCATTTGCATAATTGCTGCTCAGCATTAACCCTTCTGTGGATTAGGTTGCTGCTCGGCACAACTTTTCCTGTGTGGACAGTAAATGTCATTAACCACATTTTTATAAGCGGATATATATATATATATATATATATATATATATATATAATTATGCTAATTAGTATGGGCAGTATTTTTTCCCAAAAATATGGTAACCTTATTAACCGATAATTACATGATTTTTTTTTTCCCACTTATTATTACTATTGGTATTTATATAGTGCCAACTAATTCCGCAGCACTTATCTGCATGGGTATATTCTTTTTTCATGTATTGATCTGTGTTGAAGACCTGACTCTTGTGTCAAGCCACTGTCCCACACATACTCTACCCTAGTGTTCACAGCAGAAAGCCATACCTTAGAAGCCTTCCTATTATGTATAAACTTGTCTACTTTGATGGTCAACATTCTCTGATAGTTCTATATGGTCTGGTTGCTAGGAGTAGCTACAAAACAGGAGGTAACCTGTAATGAAATAATAGGATATAGTAATAATACTAAACACTAGTTGGCAAACCGATTCAATCATTTCATCATTTTTGCTGCATTTTCATACTAGAAGGATGTGTATTTATCCTCTTAAGGAACAATGATATATGAAACCGAAAAAGAATCGATTAAAAACGGTCTTATATAATCTAACAACAATAAAAATGTCAGAGATACCAAAATCTGTCAAATATTTTTAAGAGGATTAAACATCAGGAAGGAATCATACATATCTGTCCACATACATTGAACAATACTTATCCGGCCATGCTCCATCAGGATGTAAATCTGAAGAATTAGCTGGGGAATGCTCTCTAGGTAAGTTTTAAATACACGTAGCATGCTCAGATCTGTCATGGCTTCCACAGCTATTTTCTTCTTAGTTGCAGAATCATTTGTTTTCTGTTTGGATAATGTTGCCAGATATCCATACTTCAATGCATACCAGTACCTAACGAATAAAATATATACATTATCTAAAAATATTATATTAAGGGTTGGAATCTGGATTATTTTTCCTATGTTACCTACGAAGATACATTTTCTGGATTTATCTCTACATTTAAGGCATGTGATGGACATAATCAATCTTTACTCACAAATTATGATAGTTACTGTAAATACACAGAGATATATATCTTGGCTTAGAATAAAACAAGAAAAATATATTTTGAAAATTAATAATAATTAAAAAAACATTACTTCAGTAAAAATCTCAAGAAAGTCAAACGTAATTTAACTACTATATTTGAATATTACAATTTATAAATGATGGTGTAGATTTGGAAAAATCCAAGAATTTACATACTACAATGTGGACATGAACAATATGTGTGCCTATATTATTATATTTTCCTCAGTTGTCTTATCATAGGAGTCTAGGCAAAACTGTTTTTTGAAATGTACTCACTAAAGAGTAAGTTGTGGAAAGCTAAATAACCAACTCTCAATGTTTAGAGTAAAAAGAGAGGCGTAACTAGAAACCACAGGCCCCAGTGTAAAAATTGGCCTGGGGCCCCCTGTGTGTCTCATTCTGCCCCCCTCAGCCCCTTCATGTGTCTCATTTTCCCCCTGAGTCCCAAAAACTCCATGTGTGTCACTGGGAGCACTTCCTGTGAGATAGTATTCCGCTCAGTCACACTACATGCAGTCACCCAGCTACTGCGCACCCTGGGCTGGTGCGATTGTGCACCGGCCCTGGAGTTATTTCGGCCCACCAGTCACAGGGGTTGACAGCACAACTTTGATCTCTGGAGTGAGGGGCCCGTTCGCAGCTGCAACCCCGGCGACCATGGTAATTATGCCACTGAGTAAAGAATTGTTGAGATGGAATAAAATTACTAAGTCAACTTACCTGAAAATGACAAATTTTCATCATTTTACAATGTATTTAACCACAGTTCTTTGCTTACTGAACAGATTTCTGTGCTTGCTGCTGACGCCCATTTAACTTAATTTTGGCACCAAGCAAAGAAGCAGGACATTAACCCCTTAAGGACTGGACTGTTTTTGCGATGTTGTACATTTGCGACCAGGAATATTTTTACACTTTTGTGGTGTTTGTGTTTGGCTGTAATTTTCCGCTTTCTCATTTACTGTTCCCATACAAATTATATATTGTTTTTTCAGGACAAAATGGGCTTTCTTTACATACCATTATTTATATAATCTCATGTATTTTAATTTAAAAAAAATAAAAAAATATGATGAAAAATTTAAAAAAATACATGTTTTTTGACTTTTACTTGAAAAATCTTTTACTCATCTACAAAAGCGAATTAAAAAAACTGCTAAATAGATTCAAAATTTTGTCCTGAGTTTAAAAATATCTAGTGTTTACGTGCTTTTTTGCTTTTTTTTTGCATGTTATAGGGCTATAGGTACAAGTAGGATATTGCGGTTTCAAAACATACATTTTTAAAATTTATCAATAGTGACATTGTAACACTATTATCTGTCATAAATCTCTGAATAACACGCCACATGTACATATTTTTTTTAAAGTAGACAACCCAGAGTATTCAATATGGGGTATGTCCAGTCTTTTTTAGTAGCCACTTAGTTGAAAACACTGGCCAAAGTAAGCATTCATATTTGTTTTGTGTGTGAAAAAAGTAAAAAAACTAAATTGAACGTTAATTTTGGCCAGTGTTTGTGACCAAGTGGTTACTAAAAAAGACTGGACATACCCCATTTGCAATACCTTGGGTTGTCTTCTTTTGCAAATTGTATGCCATCATGGGGGTAATTCTCATTCCTGGGCTACCATACGCTCTCAAAGGCAACGTAACCAACCTGGCCATTTTCAATGTAAAAATATTTGACCCATATATTTGACCTTGTAACTTTCAAAAATGCTATAAAACCTGTACATGGGGGGTACTGTTTTACTCAGGAGACATCGCTGAACACAAATATTAGTGTTTAAAAACTGGAAAACGTATCATAACAATTATATCATCAGTAAAAAGTGCTGTTTGTGTGTGAAAATGCAAAAAAAGTCACTTTCACTGACAATATCATCGCTGTGATATGTTTTACTGTTTTGAATCACTAATATTTGTGTTCAGCTAAGTCTCCCGAGTAAAACAGTACCCCCCATGTACAGGTTTTAGGGTGTCGTAGAACGTTACAGGGTAAAATACAGTGCTAGCAAATTAAATTCTCTGGACTTTCGGCCTGGGTTGGCAGGCAGGTCCCTCAAATTGCAATCAATAAAATTGCTTAATTATGTAAAAATATTACATAAATACGCACGTAGAATTTAAATATATATGCATATTTATATATTTGAAGTCTACGTATATATTTATATAATTATTTATGTAATTTTGTATATGGACGTATGTATATTTCTTATTATTTTTATTTATTTTTATATACATAGATATATATACAAATTCATTCTAAGTGTATTTTGATATAAATATATTAATTTTAAAATACAGTTAGAATAAAATTTCATATAGCTATATAATTTTTTTAAAATTTTTTATTATTATTTTAAAATTTTTTTATTTAATTTAAATTACTTATTATTTATATTTTATAATAATATATATATACACAATATATATAGTTATTATATATATTATATATATACGTGTGTAATTTAATTATAAGTGTATTTTTATATTAATATAAGTACATATTAATATAAAAATACAGTTAGTATGACATTATATATATATGATATATAGACATATATTATATAGATATAATATATGTCTATATATCATATTTATACATATATAATTATTATTATTTTTTTTATTACCATTAACTTTAATTTTTTTTCTGATTTTACACTAGCAGGGAGACTGCCTGTCAGCACAGGCAGTCCCTCTGCAGGCAGCACTATGGACACCTATTGTGACCATGTGATCGCTGTGTTGAGCTATCACATGGCCACAGGGGTCCTAATTCAGTGTGGGGAGACTGTCTGGGCTGCAGGCAGTCTCCCCACAACCGGAGGAACACTGATCGCCGCCGGGGGAACGACGGCGATCAGGTAAGTACCCCCAGACCGTTTGGACGGTTCAGGACCGTCATCGGTCGGCAAGGCAAAAATGCCGATGACGGTCCTGAACCGTCCTCGGTCCTTAAGGGGTTAAGCAGGACATTAACAACTTTGGCTTAATGCAACAGTTTTGTGTATAGATCATGCCCCTGCAGTCTTACTGCTCAATTCTATGCCATTTAAGAGTTAAATCACTTTGTTTATGCACCCTAGTCACACCTCCCTGCATGCGACTTGCACAGCCTTCCTAAACACTTCCTGTAAAGATTATTCTAATGTTTATACTTCCTTTATTGCATATTCTGTATAATTTAGAATTTCTTATCTCTTGCACTGTTAATAGCTTGCAGGGCCCTGCAGGAGCCTCCCGTGTGTGATTAAAGTTTTAAATTTAAAGCGCAGGACATAAAAACTTTTAAAGTAAGTTACATGTGACTGAAAGTGAAAGCATTTTTTCATGCATGCTGTGTGAGTCACAGCCAGGGAGGTCTGGCCAGGGCTGCATGTACAGAAACAAAAGTAATTTAACTCTTAAATGGCAGTGAATTGAGTAGTGAAATTTCACGGGCATGATCTACAGACCAAAACTGCTTAATTAAGCTAAAGTTGTTTTGGTGACTATAGTGTCCCTTTAAAGTGCCAATTTCATGAGAAAAGTTGCACTTTTATAAAAAAAATTAAAAAAAAAAAAAAATGATGAAGCATTCTATTGGCAAAACACTGCAACTGTCGCTCATGCTCCTTATGTCTCCAAAGTTTTTCTATGAGGATTATTTGACTGACACAGAGATTAACAGTATTGATGATCTCTCAGGTGTAGTCAGGAGCTGCAGTGGAAAGATAGTCTCTCCGCTGGAAAAAAAAAATGAGTAAAAAAGTTTTTAAAAATACAGGGAGAAACAAAAAAAGGTAGGAAAAACCCACACCACTCAGTGCCTATCAAAATATGGCACCAATGGTGTAGGTGAAACCACCTAGTACCTAATGGAGGCTCCAAGGGTCTCCAGGGGCCTAACCCCAAAATTGTATATATGAAAAAAGAAAATGAAACATACAGAGAAAGAACAGCTGCAAAAAGCAGGTGTATCTAACTGCATGAATCTGGAAAAAAATAAATAAGGTTCTCACAAATAAAACAGAAAAATAAAAAATAATAAAAGTGTATCTCCTAGTGATAATTTAAAAACATAGACTAATGGTCTACGCTGCCTTTTAACCTTCTCTTCATGTACAATACACTGATACACAGTGTTTCTATTCACGGAGATAAGTGGGAGGAGTTTATGCTAATGTAATAGATATACCCGCCCCACTCTCTCCGATAGTATCAATCACTTTGTGGAGAGCGCGGGAAACAGTTTATCCCGCCCTCTGCCAGAGGTAGGATTCTTATTGGTTAGGAGAAGATACGAACGGGGTATTTTAAGCGCATACTGAGCAGTCCTTGTTTTGCCTCTGACGAAGGTGCTACTAAGAGCACTGAAACGCGCGTCAGGCGTTTTTCTCTGTCCGATTTTTTGGACTTCACTGGTTTGCCCACATTTATCACTATATGGCACTATAAAGTTTTGTGGACACTTATGTATGACTAGATAGACCTATTTATTTAGACTTTTTCCTTCTTACCACTTTTTGAGCTGGATTAGTATATACTTACTAGGGGACTGGATAATATGTTGCTTTTTTTGTGACTAGTACATTGTCTGCTACATTGTTAAGCAACTCTTTGTTATTTTCCCCTGTCATATTCATTTCTATCTACCTGGCTCTGTCTAATAGATATGCCGTGGGCACCCTAAGCTCCACGATATCTATTTCCTCTGACTATACATTTGTATTAGGCTATAATATATACCTAGTTTGGTATTTCCTCTCTTAGGTATTTCATTATTATTATTTTTTGTGGTAATTGTTTGTCTTTATATTGTTATATCCCTTCCCTGGTTTAGTTCTATATTTTTGTTAATTTAGTGGACACAGTAGAGCAAGATATATTAAAGTTCATTTTCTGGTGCCCTACCTTGTACATAGATTTATATACTCTATACTAGAAATATGGGATACCATTAGTCTATCTTTTTAAATTATCACTAGGAGATACACTTTTATTATTTTTTATTTTTCTGTTTTATTTGTGAGAACCTTATTTATTTTTTTCCAGATTCATGCAGTTAGATACACCTGCTTTTTGCAGCTGTTCTTTCTCTGTATGTTTCATTTTCTTTTTTCAAAAATACAGGGAGTGCAGAATTATTAGGCAAGTTGTATTTTTGAGGATTAATTTTATTATTGAACAACAACCATGTTCTCAATGAACCCAAAAAACTCATTAATATCAAAGTTGAATATTTTTGGAAGTAGTTTTTAGTTTGTTTTTAGTTTTAGCTATGTTAGGGGGGTATCTGTGTGTGCAGGTGACTATTACTGTGCATAATCATTAGGCAACTTAACAAAAAACAAATATATACCCATTTCAATTATTTATTATTACCAGTGAAACCAATATAACATCTCAACATTCACAAATATATATTTCTGACATTCAAAAACAAACCAAAAACAAATCAGTGACCAATATAGCCACCTTTCTTTGCAAGGACACTCAAAAGCCTGCCATCCATGGATTCTGTCAGTGTTTTTGATCTGTTCACCATCAACATTGCGTGCAGCAGCAACCACAGCCTCCCAGACACTGTTCAGAGAGGTGTACTGTTTTCCCTCCTTGTAAATCTCACATTTGATGATGGACCACAGGTTCTCAATGGGGTTCAGATCAGGTGAACAAGGAGGCCATGTCATTAGATTTTCTTCTTTATACCCTTTCTTGCCAGCCACGCTGTGGAGTACTTGGACGCGTGTGATGGAGCATTGTCCTGCATGAAAATCATGTTTTTCTTGAAGGATGCAGACTTCTTCCTGTACCACTGCTTGAAGAAGGTGTCTTCCAGGAACTGGCAGTAGGACTGGAGTTGAGCTTGACTCCATCCTCAACCCGAAAAGGCCCCACAAGCTCATCTTTGATGATACCAGCCCAAACCAGTACTCCACCTCCACCTTGCTGGCGTCTGAGTCGGACTGGAGCTCTCTGCCCTTTACCAATCCAGCCACGGGCCCATCCATCTGGCCCATCAAGACTCACTCTCATTTCATCAGTCCATAAAACCTTAGGAAAATCAGTCTTGAGATATTTCTTGGCCCAGTCTTGACGTTTCAGCTTGTGTGTCTTGTTCAGTGGTGGTCGTCTTTCAGCCTTTCTTACCTTGGCCATGTCTGAGTATTGCACACCTTGTGCTTTTGGGCACTCCAGTGATGTTGCAGCTCTGAAATATGGCCAAACTGGTGGCAAGTGGCATCGTGGCAGCTGCACGCTTGACTTTTCTCAGTTCAAGGGCAGTTATTTTGCGCCTTGGTTTTTCCACACGCTTCTTGCGACCCTGTTGACTATTTTGAATGAAACGCTTGATTGTTCGATGATCACGCTTCAGAAGCTTTTTGCAATTTTAAGAGTGCTGCATCCCTCTGCAAGATATCTCACTATTTTTTACTTTTCTGAGCCTGTCAAGTCCTTCTTTTGACCCATTTTGCCAAAGGAAAGGAAGTTGCCTAATAATTATGCACACCTGATATAGGGTGTTGATGTCATTAGACCACACCCCTTCTCATTACAGAGATGCACATCACCTAATATGCTTAATTGGTAGTAGGCTTTCTAGCCTATACAGCTTGGAGTAAGACAACATGCATAAAGAGGATGATGTGGTCAAAATACTCATTTGCCTAATAATTCTGCACTCCCTGTAATTAAAGTTAAGCAGTGGTGGGCCCTAAATTTACCCAAAAAGAAACACTCCAATGTTAAAGTGATACATTTGTTTTTAACTTTGGAGTGGTATTCTAAAGAATTAGCCTCTATACTACTATTCATTCCATTCATCCCCACTTTTTGAAAATTATGTAAATGTGCCATAATGGCATAAAGAAAACCAACATTGGCTTTTTGTTACCTAAAGAGTTAATCCAACTGCAATGGCCACTTGTGCTTTTATAAGTGGTCATGGTGATAAAAGTCTATATGTGCAGTGTTTCTGCTTAAAACCCTGCATATTCACTTATGTAAACATATAAAATTAAGTCCTGCGCTCAAACGCCCACTACTCCTGCTAATTATGCTAAAAAGGTAAACAATTTCTAATACGGCAAAGAGGGGTATCTTTCTAAACCCTACACACTTATTTACCCTTAATAGGAAACACATGGGGTGGCGGGCAGCATCGTAACATGGCTGTGTAATACAAAAGCAATTACAAAATTAAGCTCTGCGCTCAAGCACCCACTTCTCCTGGGCAGCAGCTATAGTACACATCAGCCCCAATAAAATAAAACCAAAAAAACAAGTTACTTGATGTGGCAGGTCAGCTTACACTTAAATGGTCATTGCAAGAGCAAACACTTTTAAACAAATATACAAACCAAAATAAAGGAAATTTCGAGAAGTATGTAATAAACTTTTATAAACTCATTTTAAACTTGGTCAGATTGCATTATTGGGCACACCTCTCAGCTAGAAGGGCTTTTCCATCCACCCCCAGCCCCCAACGCCACTCTCCCTGTGATTTCCTTATACCAGCAGTGATCATATTATCATGAACTTACCTAACGAATATTCCTGATAGAAAGAGATGGACAACAAGTATCCATGTTAATTTCCTGCTGTCTTTCTCAACATCCTTAAACCATGTGTAGCTAAACACCTGAATTATTATTGCACCGACAAGAATGAAAAAAATTGTTAATAGACCATAAAGATGAAGTTCTTGCTGAAAATATTTCATCGCTATCCATAGATCTACTCCAACGTCAAACAAAAAGGTAAAAATCCCCATTCCTGTCATGAAGAAATTCCATCTTGTAAAACTCATCATTTGGTGATTTTTCTCCTGATTATTGTGTTTTAAATTCATTTATACTCTTCATATTTATATATTAATCCTCATACTGTATGGAATTAGATTGATTACAGTCAGAAGTCTTCATGTCTTGACATATGCAGCTCCATGTTTGATTCAGATTCCATAGTTCATGTAAAATAATTTGCATATGTCTTTGCAAAAATGTAAAATCATGTTTTCCTCTGATTATCCAGTTCCTCTGGCAACCAATGGAAAAGCATACGTGGGAAAGTCATGATAAATACTTCATAATTGTCCATATGAGGTCTTTTTAGCACCATTTGGCTCTACAGCCATTTTGAAATGAACCTGAAATATATAAAGGAAATAGTGTTAGTTAAATCACTATTCCAGTGCAGTTTTATACAATGCACAGAAACAGATTCCTTGGCCAGGGTTTCCTTCTGTAAATGGTAGCCAATGTCCTTTCTCCCACATTCCACAACCATTTTTGTAGGTTAAACTTTACAGCAGCATTATAGCAGCCAAGGAGGAGGCGGGGAATAAAGTCATTAAGCATTAACTACTTCTCAATGACCAGCCATGGGCGTCCGCAGGGGGGGGCCCCCCCTGGATTTTTCAGCTTGTGCTGCTATTTTTCGTGTGATTGAAAAATGAACTGCAATACCGGAGAAGGAACAGAAATGAGCAGGAAGGGACATCAAGGAGCAGAAAGGGGCAGCAAGGAGCTGGAAGGGACAGCAAGGAGCTGGAAGGGACAGCAAGGAGCTGGAAGGGCCAGCAAGGAGCTGGAAGGGACAGCAAGGAGCACAAAAGGTAAAGTAGGAGAAGGAACAGAAATGAACAGGAAGGGTCAGCAAGGAGCTGGAAGGTAAAGCAGCACAAAGGTAAAGTAGAAAGAGCAGAAAGGGTCAGAAATGAGCTGGAAGGGGCAGAAGGAGCACAAAGGTAAAATAGGAGAATGAGCAGGAAGGTCCTGCAAGGAGCAGGAAGGAGCACAAAGGTAAAGGAGCAGAAAGAATCAGAAGGAGCACAAAGGTAAAGTAGAAAATGGAGCAGAAAGGGTCTGCAAGGAGCAGAAAGGGATCAGAATGAGAAAGGAGCAGAAGGGCGCAAAATAAGCAGAAAGTAGCAGAAAGGTAAAAGAGCAAAAGGGGCCAAGGATAGAAAACAGTGTCAGAAGAAAAAAAAAGACTGTCAAATGAAGGAGAGGAAAAGGAGATTGGAGCAGGAAGGACAAATGAAGTGTACCCTCCACTTTATTCTGGACACCACATCATAAGGCTTTGGTACCTGGGCCAGGCAGGGAAACGCTGGACTTTCTCATCTCCCCAGGTAAAAAAATTATCAGTATTAATGTGTTCACTTTTATTTACTGAGTGTCAGGAAGCACAGAGTGCCGTTGGGTAGGGGTGTTGCTGATTGGCTAGAGTGGTCAGCTGGCACTCTAAGCCAATCAGTAGCTCCCTATTCATAAAAAAGTAAAAATATTTTATGAACCGGGAACTAGCGATTGGCTTAGAGTGTCAACTGTCCACACTAGCCAATCAGCGGCACCCATGCCTGACGTCAATCTGCACTTCCTGACACTCCGTTTCAGAAGCCAAATACCACTGAGCGACCTGGAGCTGGAGGAAGCCTTTGGGGTTAAACCATTTGAGAGTGATTTAACCCCTTAAAGGAAAGCGAGCACCCAGGGGCTTCCTGGCATCATAGCATTTTCATTTAGGTGAAGTTGTTATGGTGACCAGAATGGTCCTTTAATTTGTTTAAAGGAACACTATAGTGTCAGGAATACAAACATATATTCCTGACACCATAGTTGTGAAAACGCTATTCAACCTGGCTTTATGTGATAATGGCTATGCCCCTTCCCTTTCATGACACTGTCAAAAAGTGCCAAGCATGGATGTCATTACAATTATGCCCCCCCCCGGAAAAATTCCTGCGGACGCCCATGTGACCAGCTTAGTTACTGTATGTGGACATTATACTAGCATAAGATATCTTATATTCTTGATACATTCCCAGTTGTATTCCTACTAATTAAATTCATCACAAATACCTTTAAGCTGTGTATTGGTCCATTTATATACTTACACAAATTTGTCATACCTACAGTTTGTAAGAAAAACAAAAAGGACTTCTGCTTTTATGCAAATATTTCAGAACGTCTTTTAAATATTGCAAGAGAAACGTTACCATGTAGACTCAAACATTTCAATCCTCTGATATTTATCTGAACGATAAAAGTTTAATTGAAAAATTAACATAGAATATACCTCATCCGCAAATCATAAAATGGCCATTGTGTTAGGTAGGCTTCCCGTGTTTAATTTACATGTATGTTACCTTTTAAATAGAAAAAAAGGGAACTGGGAGGATAAACACTGTTTGGTAACTCCAGCTCTTACACTATTTGGGGATTACAACTCACAGGAAGTTCAGCTCAGAGAAACTATAAATATACATATATAAGTGAAGTCCAGCAAGATTTGTATGTTGCTGAACCTTAAAATAATGAAATAACTTTTCATTAAAGGAACACTGCAGACACATAAAGCAAGTCAGCTTGCTAGAGTCTGTCATATTTGTTACAGTTTATAAAAGTGCAGATTCCAAAAGAAATCAGCACTTTAAAACTGGTGGATAGAAGCCACTAAGAGCCATAGATCCCTGTATTGAAAGCATTCCTGTACCTGGAGAATGGCAATGTTCTCAGCTGCACATTGCGATGAAGGGGTCTGTGTGCCTTTAGTGTTCATTTAAATTGTTAAAAAAGATATATAACAACATTTGCAGTAGAGTGTTCCGTTAAGGTTCTGAGATCAAGGGGAAAAAAACTTGTTGAGTATCAGAATGTTGTATGGAAGAACAATCAATAAGATTATTTGCATACCAGAGAAGACTACAAACTAATAGACCATGAAGAGAAAATATTTACCTGCAGGGTTTTTCCCTGCAGACTAAATATCAACTGATGTGTTAGACTAACTCAAGTTAGTCTTCTGACCTTTTCCTCATTAAAGTTCCTTTACATTGGTCACTACAGCTCATGGCAGTCGTATGTAACTGATTCATCAGTAGATGTTGGAAAAGATGTGAAATGCAAACTTACATAGCACAAACTAATGGAGACTTAAGAGTTTTCACAAAACTGAGCTTATACCAGCACTGTCACACCAAACTTACCTTTTCCCAATCACTTCCTCTTCTCTTCCTTTCGTCTTTCTTCTTTTAATTTTCCAGCTATTTCTAACAAAAAACATAAGACAAAGTATGGACTACTTTGTCTTGTATATAGTTCCTACTGTTGACTTTTTTTGGCACAAGGAGGAGTAAGCTGAACTTCTCACCCAATACTCACCCCTCCTCCATGTTCTCGTGTTGCCTCCATTCCAACTGCCGCTAATGGATGGTGGCTGAGGGGGACAACAGGTCACAACCATTATCACTTAGAGCCCCTACCAGTGCTAATGGATGGGGACTGGGGGGTCCCCCCGTTAATTATTTAATAGGTGCACCATGTTAGGGGCATGGGGGACCTGTGCCTGGTCCACCTTTATTGGATTTAGGGGGGAGGGGGGATTATTTTACAATAATTACGACATTCTGTTCGGAAGAAATTCAGTAATTTAGTGTACATGGCAGGACGTTTGGAAGTGGCGAAACGATGCAACACGAGAATACAGAGGAGAAGTTAGTATTGAAGGAAAACTTTCTTTGAAACAGGAAGTTCCGCTTACTTAAGCGCCTCCTTGATTTAAAAAAAAAAAAAAAAAGTCAAGCTCAGGAAATATACAGAAGAAAAAGTAGTCCCTACATTGTCTAATGTTATTAGTTAGAAATAGCTGGGAAATGAAAAGAACAAAGACAGAGTAGGAAAGAGGAATAGAAGTTGGAGCGATTGGGAAAAGGTAAGTTTGGCATGACAGTGCCGCTTTTGCCAGAGGCTACACGACCTCACTAATGCTACCCGGAACATTCATCCTATATTCTTTACAGCAAATTTTAAAAAATTACTGAATTGATCGTAACAGTAGTAGAAAACAGCTTTAACTATTTTTTTATAACTGCCATATATACATATTTTTCATATATCACTCACAAATTGGAGTTATATATAGCACCGTATCAATCTTACCACTGGTTAACCTTCTTTGACTTGAGCAATGTACAAGCTATTAGCTTAATACCCTATTGTTAAATTGCAATATAATGTAACAGTTTATATAACCCATTCACAAACCCGCATTATTTCAAATTGACAAAAAGGAGCACTTCAATTTTAGGGGTGTATGTGAGAGATGTGAGTGGGGGTATGGCCAGGGGCGGGGCTGTTCTAAAAAAAATTCATGGGACTTACTAATAAGAATGTATGCAACAAAAATGCAATTTATAACAAGAATAATGTATCTTATTTACACAGACTGTACATATTTACAGTCGGGGCACGGCCGGGGGGGGAGCGGGGCCGTGCCCCGATCCGGCAGCTTCCGTTGCCAGAGTAAGTTGCTGTCTCTTTAGAATCGGCATGTGTTCTGGCCGTCCCACGGTCACCCGGGTCTGGTTTTATGATCCCGGGTAGGCCTTAGGGGTCCTTTATGGTGCCTACAGCCCCCTTTACGGGTCTGATTGGTGTCTTTGTAGAGCTGATGTCCTCCTCCCCATTATTATAGCGGGCAATCCTGTCTTCAGGCCTTCTGTGCTCATTTCAGATACCGATTAATTTGTTTGGGCCGGGAGCCCTGATAGTCTGCTGCCATGCGGCTCGGCGGCCCAGCCCCGCCCCCCTGCAAGGATTTTTGGGTACACAGGTGAAGATGATTCCCCCCCTACAAATAAAAAAACATCTTCACCTGTGTGTCTCTTAACCTCCTTTTGTGACTTATCTCTTTTAAATGTCTTACCCCCTTTAGTGTATCTTATCAAAAGCGTCCTGCACCGCGGTCCTCTCTGCCCGGCCACTCTACTCTGAGTGACTGGTAGGGGGGAGAGCTGTGTGCTTCCCTCCTGGCGGTCACTCTAATCTAACGTCCCCCGGGCTGGTGCTCCCTAAGGCCCTCCTTATGGATGCGCTATGGGAAAGTATTGGATTGGCTGAGATTTTCAAATTTGATGATCTCAGTCAAGGGAGCAAAGCAGGGAGATGGCCAGCTGCGACCGGCCCACGCTGCACTGGTAAAATCCCCTTTTTAACCGGAGGTAAGTGGGAGACAGTTACCTAAACAGATATTTAGACCTACCATGAATAAGAAGCATTTTTTTATTATTCTTATTTTCAAAGAGTGTTGCTTATTTTTGATTCCTTTAGATATACCATAATGATATATACATTTTAATAATATAGTTGCTACAGCTACATACACACACACACACGTTACATTGGCCATTCATACTAATTCCTACAGTCAATGTAGACTTGTCTGATAGAAAAATGTATTGAGAGCACAGAATAAATAAAGCAGCAAAAGACACTATTGAGGGATTAAGACTGGGCAGCGTGGATTAAATTTCTGCACGGCATTGTGTACCAAACTGTCAAAATATATTGCCATGGATTTATACATATGAGTTTCTGTATTCAACAGTTCTGTCAACTTTCAAAATTTAGGCCAGTTATGTTTGGTAAAAGTTTTGGTTAAACCAAGACGTTTTTCAAATCAATATTTTGAAAAATGTTTAACGAATGCACCCAAGTAAATAAGAATGTGTTCCACATCTAAATTTTTAATTTTAGCAGCCAGTCCACAACAATTGGCACACTAGACACCATAACAACTTCATCTCATTCAAATGGTTATAGTGCCGAGAGCTCTCACTATCCCTAAGTCCAATTTCCAATAGTTTTACACGGTTTTCAAAGGTACCTTTCCACACAAAGCCTGGGCCCCACAAATTAGGTTCTGCCGTAGCCATACCAATTCATACTTGCAATGAGCAGCTGTGATAGGCAGAGTGGTCAGCTGACACTCAGCCTATCACTACCAACCATCGCACCTTGGGGTAATGCAAGCATTAGGCTAAGCCGCACAGAATGGCTGGGAGTTGGGGGATCATAAGTCAATGCTAAACAGTCCAAAATCAGTTTAACATTAAATAAATGGACAGCGTCAGCGGTTTACAGATACTATAACCACTTTAAGTGGTTATAATGCATAGAGTGTTCCTTTAAACCAGAAGTTGCTCATTAAACCGACATGCTATATCTATTGCAATAATCTCTATAATATAACCATTTCTAGTGTTATTGCCCTTGCTCTCAAAAATGAAAGTAATTCTTTCATTCTGCAATAAACAGAGCACTAGCACTCCTTGATTTACATTGAACAGCCAATCCAGACACCTAAACAAGGTAGGGGCAATCTGTTGGCTGGGTTACCCATGGTGGATATCATCATTTTTTTTTATTATTATTATTATTAACATTATTATTATCATTATTATTATTGACATTTTTGTAGCACCAACATATTCCAAAGCACCTTACAATATTAATGTGAAGATATAACAGGAGAAGATATATAACAACAAATGTTAACCGGACACAAGAGGTTATAGAGGATCCTGCTCAGAAAAGCTTACAGTCTAGAAGAGGTAAGGTAAAAAAAATACTCAGAGTATGAGTAACATCAGGTGAGATAGGATCATCAGGCAGCACCGATCCTGGTTAGGTGCAGACTGCAGTTTAAGAAAAACAGTAATGCGTTCAGAATGGATATTGGTAGTTATATTGGTATCGAGCTTCTCAGTGGCTCAGACCCTGGGTGTGTACAATTTAAGTTGGAAAATTATGGCAAATGATGCCCTTGGTGGCTGTGTTATGTGTTACGTTATTTATATTGTATTATATGGTTGTATTGCTTTATTGTTATGAATTATAGTTGGGTCATTGTCAGTGGGCATAGTGATAAAACGGGTGTTTGGCGGCTTACCCGCCTATCATTTACTCCATGCAACCCAAGAATTGTCCTTGACACCTACCCTGCAGCATTTGTGTGTAGAGGGCGGGGTGTATATATTTATATACACAGAGAATATTGAACAGTGGCTGCGTCAGAGACGGAAATTTCCAAAGTGTATACAGAACAGAGATAGGTTATTATGTAATATCATTGAAAGTGTGTTTGTAAAAAAACTTGAAAGATTTTCTCTGTGTATGCTGAGCTATAATGGCGTACTATGTATAAACTTACTTTGTCGATTTAAAGCTTTAGCTTCACCATTATTAAATAATACACGTTCCGGGTGTACTCCCAAATAATATGTTATATCCTTATCACAGGTGGGCTATTTTAGCCTAAATATTGCCTTTCAAATTTTAGCTGATTTTAATTAATAGTTTAGTAAATAAACCTCATTGTGTTATTTATTTGACTTTTTTTAGCTACAGTTTTGATATTTGGTGTATATTGAGTAGTGCTTTCGTAGGGGCGGGTTTGAATGCGCGCACGCCTCTGGCCGCCCATGCGTATTCAGCTCCACTTGGGAGCTGATGTCGATGGAGGAGGAGAGGTCACGAGTGCCGAGGGAGCCCAGCACTGGATTAAGGTAAGCAAATAAAGGGTTAATTAATAAATGGTTATTTGTATTCCTAACGCTATAGTGTTCCTTTAAAGACAATACTCAAATTAACATTGCTTTCCACCCTAGCTACTTCATCCTTATATGTGATCAATGTTGTTGTCAGCTCCCTGTTTAGTGAATACACCCAAGTGTTTAAAGAAAAACTCCAAGCACCATAATTACTTCAGAGCACTGTAGTGTTTGTGGTGCCAGGAGTGCCCCCAGTGTAAGTAGTCAAACCTCTGGGCGCTGCTTCCTGCTTCCTATGGAGAGCCAAAAGTTTACAGGAGCCTTTTTAGCAGGGCTAGCTCAGTGGCTGGGAGAGTCAGCTCATCACTCTCAGCCAATGAGATAAGAAGCTATATCACCACGCTTAGCTCAGATAGAGCTTCCCTCTCTCCAAAGGAAGTAATGGAGGCGGGGAGCAGTGCTCAATGGATCCCGGTAAAACAATTAGATTTTTTACAATAGGGGGGTGTCATGAAACGTCGATCAACATAGACCCTACAACAGGCCTTAGTGGTTATGGTGCTTAGATTATTTCTTTGAGAAACAGAAAACAAAATTAAACTTCTTAAATGCACTCCCAGCATAACAATCTACCATAATTGCAGGTTAGTTATATCCCCTGAACAGAGGAAGTTTACTGTCTATGTAATATTGTAACACAGCTGAAACCCCTAAATTGATTTTATGTAATCAAAAAAGTTCAGTTTCTCTTTAAACAGATTGTCTTACCTCCTGACTTGACAGGTACTGCCGATACTAAAGGAAGTGCTAAGCAATATGAGGAAGGTTTCACTTTACACTTGTCGCTCTGGAAACCTGTTAGGATAAAGGTTATTTTGAAAAGGAGGCGGCGCAGCTTTTAATGACAGAAGTATGAATCAAGTCACATGGATATCAGAGGTATGCAGATACACTATTACAGAAATAATACTTATAGTAACTCTTAGAGTTCCAAATTGCAGATACATGATTAGAGAAGCTAGATCAACAAGTATTTTCTAGGCATAAAGTAGTTTTACATGTTGATTGCCAAGCCTAAACATGTTCTCCTGCTGTATGTATCATTGCTATACAACAAGAGGGAAATCTGTTAATTAAGGTAGTTACTGAGGGATTAAAGCTGAACTTTCACTTTTCTGAAAGTAAGAGTTGCAAATCCCCTCTCCTTCCATTAAAGGGACAGTATAACAATTTTCACTTAATGAAGCAGTTTTGGTGTATAGATCATACCCCTGCAGTCTCACTGCTCAATTCTCTGCCATTTAGGAGACAATCACTTTGTTTATGAACCCTAGTTACACCTCCCTGCATGTGACTTACACAGCCTTCCTAAACACTTCCTGTAAAGAGATCTAATGTTTACATTTCCATTATTGCACAGTTTGTTTAATTTTGAATTTATTTCCTGCTGTTAATAGCTTGCTAGATCTTGCAGGAGCCTCCTGCATGTGATTAAAGTTCAATTTACAGAGCAGGATATAAAAACTTAACAACTGATTTAAAATGAAATTATTTTTTTTTAAAAGCAGGTTATGTCAGTCACAGCCAGGGTAGGAGTGGCAAGGAATGCATAAACTGAAACCGTGATTTTACTCCTAAATTTAACAGTGAGATTTCAGAGATATGATCTATACACAAAAACTGCTTCTTTGTGACAACCTACCAGTTGGTTTGTGTAACGGACCGTTTTGCACACAAGAGGTTAAAAACCGTTTAGGCGATATTCCCCTTTCAGATGCACAGACAGCTACTGCAATCACCAATCTCCCGAACTGCAAACTACACGAATTCTCCAACTCCTGAACAGGAAACTCACGAATACTGGAAACAGCTGAACAGGAAAAACCATACGAAAGGTTTACACTCCTGGCAGTCAGCATACAATCCAATTCCCCCAATAACGAGACGACACTTCGTTTGGGGGTTAAGCAGAATATGTTTACTGGCACTAAAAGAACCTTTTATGCAGGTTTCCCTTAAATAGGACCACCCACAGGGTTTTACAAAACAACCAATAAACACATACAATACACTCAGACACTCCCACACAAAATCCTCCCCTTTGCCTGTGATACAATTACCTTACACAATGGGTAATGTAATTATCACCGGCAGAGAAATACAGTTTTTCCACATTATTCATAACTTGAAAAGTATGCATCACATTCACATAAATTCACTTACATCATCCGCATACTCCAAATACAAACATATGTCAAAATCATCCAAATTGGTCCATTGGTTCAAAAGATAGATCAAAGTCCTTTGTGACCAAATGAAGCATGGCTTTTCTGCCCAGTTCCACAGAGTCTTCTATCCTGGAGATAATTGGGAAGTAATCCAATTATCTCCAAGGACAGAAGCAAAACTCCATTGAACACATGGCAGCAAAAGACAATAAAACACATAGAAATATATAACTGTGCAGCCATTGCACAAAACAGGTACATTCAACATATCCCCAGATAGCTCAGATCTGAGCGCACATTATTACTGAATGGCGCTCAGAGCACACACATACAGTTCAATTGCCATGGAGCCAAAGTCTTTCATTATACGAATGGGCTCCATGGCATAGCCATCTGGGGTATCTACGCTCAAACAGGGCCAGCACCGAATGACCCGGCTTTCGTGTCTTCGCAGAGGAAAATCAAGCGTTTCAACATGGGGCCATAGTCTAAAGGCAGCAGGCGGGCAACCAGGCTTCTCCAGTGCATAGTGGCGAGGTTGGTTCTGTCACAGTTTGTTTACAGAGGAACTCACTTGCAGAGGAACAGCGCCCACTCCCAGGTGCCTAAAAGTTATAAAGAAACCTGAGAGATCTATGGTGGCACAGGTGCCTTTAATTAACAAGAGAGCAGAAGAGTGAAGTATCAAATAAAAGATCCGACAGGAGATGAAGTCAGGCAGTCCAGTGGTCAGGGGCTGGCAGCTATGGGGCATAGTCAGAATCAAAACCAAAGTCAAAAGCTAGAAATCCACAAACCGGAACTGTAAAGCGAAAGGTCAAGGGTTGTAAGCTAGGGAGCGCTGTCAGAATCAACGCCAGAGGGAAGACGCCAAGAACTCACAAACTGAGGGAAGAATCACATGAACTGGAAAGCAATGCACACAGGGCTGGTGCAAGGATTTTTGCCGCCCACTCAGACACACACAGATACACACTCATTGACAGACACACATCAATTCATTCACTGACACACACACACACAGACACTCACTGACAGACATACACTCACTCATTGAGACACTCACTCACATACATACACTCACTCACTGACAGACACTCATTGACAGACACACGCTTATTGACAGACACACATCAACTCATTCACTGACACACAGACACTCACTGACAGACATACACTCACTCATTGAGACACTCACTTACATACACTCACTCACTGACAGACACACACAGGCAGACACACACACACATGCAGGCAGGCACTCACTGACATACATACATACACTCACTCACTGACAGACACACACACTCACTGACAGTTGAACACACACACACTCACTGACACACAGACTCAGACATTCAGTCTCCCTGGAGTCCAGTGTGGGGCAGCTCCTCACTCCTTTAGTATGCCAGGGCCAGAAGGACGTCATATTCAGGCACCCGGCATCACAGAGAGCACACGAGGGAGTAGTAGGGAGCTGCAAGAAGAGCCTAGCTCGTTGCCCACACTGCCGCCACCTGCCTCCTTTTCTCTGGCATTCATTGGCAGAGCAGGCACATGCCATCAGGGTAAACAGGTGCCTGCTCTGCAATACTAAAGGACAGCTTCGGGGCGCCCTGAGGTGGCCAAATTGCCACCTCCTGGGCTCCCTGTGACAGAGGTCCTCTCGGCACCTGGAGGATCAGCCCGGCGCTGAGGGAGGGGGCGGTTCTAGAGCCGCTCCACCAGCGCTGCGGCCAAGGACAGGGGGAGCCCACCAGGAAATATCCCGGTCGGTGCCCCCAGCAGGCCAGCGCCCTAGCGAACGCCTAGTTCGCCATATGGTCGCACCAGCCCTGAATGCACACATACACCAGGTGACTAAAGCAAATCATCAGAACCAAGTACTGACTGAGGTAAGTGCTAGGGTATTTATAAGAACACTCAGTTACGTGACCAGTTCCACCACAATGGCTTTAAAGGACCTTCTAGGACTCAGCGCCATATCGGCCGTATCATCCCTCCCCGTCTTTCAAGTGCCCCGCTCTGTTCTGATCTTTTGTGCACACTGTGCCACCTTGCCTTGGCGGACACTTACGGCGGATGCCGGAGGTCATCAGTGGAGAGAGCTGCAGGGGCAGCGAAAGCCACAGCCCTCGAGCACTAGTAGCGCCCTGGGACAGGTAAGTGGGACCTGATAACATGACATTCATTAAGCTAAAGTTGTTTTGGTGACTATAGTGTCTCTTTTTAACACTACTGAAGCCCATGCACACTGGTGTGTTTACAGAGAAATGCAGAACGACTGCATGTGCACTCTGGCATTCCTTCAATAGTGCGATATAAATGCATCTGCCTCTCATACAACACGGTAGGGGTGACTACTATTTGAATGCTATGCTTAGTGTGCCTTACCAGTCAACGAGAAGCTGTCACTTCCAGAAAAGTGACAGTTGCACTTTAACCCAAAAGAACTGCCTTATTTAGTTATTGGTTTTCCATCTGCACATGGAACATATGAATGCTTCATACAGCAGACAATCATTATACATGTTTGGGCAATTTAAATGTAAAAAAAATTTAAACAAGTGATTTAAATTATTGTGATATAAATCTATTTTAGTTGACTGTTATTAGTTATGTGAAATCTTACAAGTGATAATCTGCTTTAATGAACTGATTTCTTTGCGGCGTATGAATTGTACTCCGTATCAGTGTGAAGAAATCATACACTATATAGCCAAACATATGTGGATGCCCCGACTAAGGATTGAGTTCAGGTGTTTCAGCCTCATCCATTGCTAACAGGTGCATAAAATGAAGCATGTAGCCATGAAATCTCCACAAACACTGTGAACACAATGTTGTACTGAAGAGTTCAGAGATTTGAAATGTGGCACTGTCATTGGATGTCACCTTAGCCACGAGTTAGTTTGCAAAATTACTGCACTGATCAAATGTCAGTGCTATTATTGTGAAGTGGATGCATCTTGGAGCAACAACAGCCCGGCCATGAAGTGGTAGACCGCACACATACTCATTGGGATGAATTGGAATGCAGATGGTGAGCCAGACCTTCTCACTCAACATCAGCTCCAGACCTCACAAAGGCTCTTTTCGCTAAATGGGCCAAATTGCCCACAGACATAATGCTACATTTTGTGGATAGCTTTTCCAGAAGAGTGGTGGCTGTTATAGCAGCAGAGGGGGGCCAACCCCATATTAACGCCCATGGGTTTCCAGCAAGCTCATATAGGTATGATGGTCAGGTGTCCACATACTTCTATGCCCATTACAAGAATGGCTCATCTGACAAACTAAGGCATGAATGTTAGTAGTAAAATTAAAAAGCCTTTAATTATCTACAACAGCAGAACAATACAAAATCATGGAAGCTTTTTGATTAAAATTGAGTTTATTATTGCAACTGAAAAAAAAAACTATTTAGTTGGAGATTTTTTTTATTTTTTTTATTTTTTTTATTTAAAGCCATTATAACACCCATCTAAAATGGAGTTTATAAAAGCAGTGTTATAAAGGAGTAAAAATAAAAAAGTGTAATTAAACTGATATTCAGTAAAGAGTGAGCTGTCTGATGTTGAATGTCAATTTTTAATTTTAGGCCC